GTCAGTGCTAGGCGATCTGGCTGGAGAAAGCCAGTCAGGGTCATTTTGGTCTCTTGGTGGGGAATGTGAATTTAATTTAGAGTGCAGTGGGAAAACAATGAAGTGTTTAAACAGAGATCAAGCCTGATTTACAGACTTGTGGTTGCAAAAATGGACGGAGGAGCCAGGGAGGATGAAGACTGGATCAGGGCGGTGGCAGTGCAGTTGGAAAGAGTGACTGACACTGGGTGTTTCTGAGGGCCAGTTTTGATGGATTGTACTAATAAGGATGAGGAAAAGAGAAATCAAGGAAGCCAACTGAGTCATGAGCTCATGGCCGGATAAAGCTGCCATCTCCTGAGGGGTGAGAAAGGGAGGACGGAGAGTTCTGCTTGGTCCTGTTAAATTTCAGATGCTTATTAGACATTCACGTGGGCACTTAGATATATGAATTTGGAGATTAAAATATAAATTGGGGAATTACATATAGATCTACTTTATTGTTTTAAAATCTTCATAGCTTTGTGCCTTGCAGATGTACCACCAGCCATATAATAAATATCTGTAGTCATTGATAAACTAGGTAGATCTCAGTTTATAAAAAAGTATTACCTGTATTACAAGCAACACACAATTACAGTTTCTGTACAATATCTTAGTGCAATTTATGCACTATGACTTCAGTTTCAGTTCTGAGAGTGGAATTGCTAAGTCTATATGCATTGTTACAATGTTTTTGCACTTTGCATTTTGAAAAGGGCCAAAATCTTTAGAAATGCTTGTATCTATCTATGCTTGCACACTGGTGTTTTCTTACACTCAGGGTAACACTGGGTATTACCACACTTTTCAATTTTGCCAATCTAATCAAGGAATAATGGTATCTCATTATGATTTCAAGGTATATTTCTTTACTTAGGAGTGGATTGAGCTTCTTCATATCTGCCATCCATTTGCCTTTCTTCTTCATGCATTCTTTGATTTGATTTTGAAGCTTGCATGTAGATTCCCTGTGTCCCCGTAGGCGCCAGACTCAGGGATCCAACATCGTGTGGACAAGGTGGTGAGCTCTGTTGGTCGGAATGGCCGCTTTTGGTCCTGTGCTCTGTGCTCCTGGCCAAGGACTCCTGAGCTGGGCTGGGAAGGTGAGGAGCGCGCGGGCAGGGGGTGGGGTACGGTACCCGGAGGAGAAGGCGCAGGTGTGGTGTGGGGGAAAGGGCAGAAGGCTGGGGAGATATTATTAATAATAATAAGGGCGCAGGAAAGCCATACACATTCCACTGACCATAGATTTGTTGTTGTTGCTTTTTTTTTTTTTTTTAAAGAAACACTTCGATTGCTGTCGCAAAAATTATCTGTATGAAGTAGAACTTGGTTTCAATAACATTAGTGGAGAATACGTTCTAGAAAGTGGAGGTAACTGGAAGTAAAATTCTGGCAGCTGTTTAATAGAACAGTTCCAGATGGTTAGGTTGAGGCCAACACCTAATGAGGACGAAAGCCTTGTCTGTGGGGAATTTTGAATAATACCTGGAGAAACATTACAGTGCGCATAAAACAAATTGAATTGTTTTCGCAAGTGTTGGAAAGTTTCATGTAGTAAAAGGTTTTTTCCACATGCACTTCAATTTCCTTGCATGAGTGGCATAGAATACGTAAACACAGAAGGCAGCATTCATGCAAGATACTTAACACCTTTATACAACAATGCACGCGATTCAAAATGATTACACTATCATTACTCCTAGGGCTTCTGCAACCACAAGGTCATGGTTATGGAAAGCATGGGACCCAGTATCAACATCCAGAAAGCAGCCACCACCTTTTATGTGTGCTCTCTGCGTTTTTCCGTCATGAACTTTGCTGTTGCTGCTGCTCCTTAGCAAAACAGATAAAAACAAAATTGTGATCATTGACGCATCACCCGGAGAATTCCCCAGTTCCAGCCAGGGAATCCTCCCAGCCTCTCTCCAGCGTGCTTTCAAAAGTTGCAAAACTAGCAAGGGCGTCTGGGCCGGCGCTGGCAGCAGCCCTTTCCAGGGCGGGCTCCCGAAGGGCCGCCTTTTGTCGAATAGTCTCCAAGGGAGCGGGAACAAAGAACCGAAACCAAAACCTGCCTGCTCTGCCCTCTCCCCACCGCCCGCGCTCCGCTGGCTTTGGGCTTCCTGCCTGCCGCCGAGGGCGCGTTTCTTCTCCGCCATGGCAAGTTGTTTTTGCTTTGGGTTTTGCGGTGCAGGTCCGTGCGGGTACCGCCGCCGCGGAGCCCCAGAAGGGCGCGGAGCCGGGCGGAAAGGGCCCGGGTGCGGGGCGGCGCGCGGAGGGGCCCGGGGCTGCCTGGCCTACGGCGGTGGCGCGCCTGAGGTCACACCTGGCGGCCACCTCCCGCGCCCACGCCCAGGCGCCAGGGACACCGGTGTTTCGTCGAGGAGTAGCTTGGCTGCCCATGTTAGGGCTTAACTGTTGTCCTCCGAATCTTGCGGGGGAGAATGGACAGATTATCCAGACATGGAGGCCAGAGCCTCCTTCTGAAAAGGGCTAGTGAGAAAGAATTAGAACCTAGGACGTAAGTTAGGGAGGCACAATGATGTCTTCAGCCTTAGCGTGAATTCTTCTCTTTTGCGGTCTTAGTTCTTTCTCCAGAGACACAAAGGGCTCTGTGTTTCACCATCTGTGCTGGCTAGGAAGAAGAGCTAGTAAATTCAAGATTTAGCCTTCTGTGTTTAGAGTTCCCCCCCTTCCCCCCCAGGCAAGCGCTTTGAAAGGCTTGGCAGGGCCTTTAATTCCTGGTCTGAAATGCTGGAGTCCCGGAAATGTGGAAGCAGTTGTGAGATGCAAATGCATTTTTGTTTACTTGATTGCAGTCAAGCCATCCTCAATGAAAATAACTGATTTTGAGAAAAGAAATATAAACAAATGCAGTGGATTAATCTTCTAATTATTTTTTCCTAGTGCCTTACTTACACAAATAAACAGCTTTTCTGAATACCTTTCCGCTTTCTGATACGACAGCCAAAAGTCTCTTTAAACGCAACATTGATGCAGGAAAAAGTGCCGTCGCCTTAACATCTCTTGGCTAAACTGCTACTCTTGTTCCAAAATCCTTGAAAGGACTGTCTTTCTCTAGGACATTTCCTTTTCTTGTTAATCATGGATAGAAGAGATTAATAATTGTTCAAAATTGTTCATAATTGACCTCAGTAAAATTATATATGTTAGCTATACTTTCTGCAACCCATGAATGAAAGTTAAGGAAGAATATTGGCAGGTCATTAAAATACTAATTTATTAGAAGATTCATAACAATTAGTTCTTACAAAACAAGACTACACCTTTATGTTTTTTTCTCCTAAAAATACTGGCTCAGAGAGAAGTTCTTTTGATTTTAAAGATAAATTACATTTAGACACTTGAATAAAGAAGCATGATATTTGTACTGAGGAAGATTTTTCTGAATTGAAATTGATTGAAAGTTTTTCGTTGACATTGTTGAGGTGCAGAAAATGATTTCCCTGGAGAAATATAACCAAATGCAATGAATGAATCTAATAATTTCTTCCTACTGCCTTACTTACAAAAATAGTTTTTCTTTATACTCGTTGCTTTCTGATAGGATGCTATGCCTTTATTCTTACATTGACAGGGTTGAGCGTTTCCATGATTTTGTAAACATATTTAAGTCTTCAGTATTTTGAAGACTTAGTAGGTTTAGTGTAAAAGTTAAAAACCAATAATACTGTTTATGTTATTATGTAAACAGTAAATATAGTTCATAGCAGGGCCTAATTAATAGTAATGGTGTGCTGTGATTCCTTTTGCTCCTTTTGGTCTAATGTTATGTGTATTTTTCCTTTTCTACTCGTAGGAAAATGTTCCCAGCAGCTGGGTCAAATGGATTTTCTTTTCTTTTGCATTCCTTAATTTACTCAAAATCATGCCACCCTTTGGTTTGCTTATGATCTTTAAGCTGGGACCCCTTCGAATGCCAGAAACCGGGGAGAACTTGCTCTGGGGTGTGCGTGCTAGCAGGTCAGGTTCTCCCTAGAGTGTTCATGCTTTTTTTTTTTTAAAGTAAAATAATCCTCAAATTTTTTCCCTGTGGTTTTGGCCTAGCTGCCAGTGTGTCCTGTGTGTGCTCAAGTTTGTGCCCATAAACATCAGGAATGTGGGAGACAACTGGAGCAGTGTGATCTCACCAGTAGCCTTTCAATAAACCCTTTCTTTTGGTCCCTTTTTTCCTTTCTGAGGTTCTTCTTTGCAGGTTGTCACCTTTCCACTGCAACCTCTTTTCCTTATTCTGAGTTAGTTTCTTCCCTCTGTCTTATTCTTTCCTATACTTCTAAGTATTTTCAGTCTTCCAGAAATTTGTTGAAGTCTATGCTGATTGCTCCCCTTAACGGTGTATATTCTTTTTTTTTTTAAATTCTTTTACTCTTATTTTTAAGGGGCTCTTGGGATAGACAGGACCTTGTGTGTGTGCTTAGACTGTCTTCTTAACCTAGGTGGTCAGAAGTAGTTTGCCTTTCTCCAGTGGAGTCCCACTCTGAGTACAGAGGCCTCTGGACTGAGAGCCCAAACTCCTTTTTGGTCTATTAACCATTACTCCAGCCATGAGACATCCTGTCCTTCCTTGGGTAATTCATGTTTGAGCTCTGGTGTAATCAGGCTGGACTAACTGTACAAAAATTGGGGGAAGCTTATAGGTCCACTTCCCTAAATGGGCTTCGTGGACAAATTAAAGCATTTAAAAAGAAGCCTCTTAACTGGATAATATAAGAAGTTGAAAGAGAGTGAGTCCAAAGAAGCTTCTATTTGCAGTTGGTACTCTGTGCCCAGCATGGTGGTGGCAGGGTCTGCAGTAGGACGCACTCGCTGTGGTTGAACTTCATCTCCGATATGTGCTGGAAGACAAGATTCACTACACTGTTGTCCCCATGTTACTGCCAGGTTTTTTTTTTGGCTTTTTTTAATGGTGACTTTTCCCTTTTCTGACAATAAAGAAGGGGATCTGTTTCTTACCGCTTATGTACTTTGGACTGTACAATCGAGAAAATGTACCACCATCTCCAAACTACCATGTTTTATGGTTAGTTTGACTTTTTTTAAATTTTAGAATTTATATCTCTTGATTTTTTTCTGTAACTTCTGCCATTATTTGTAGGCCTTCCTAAAATCAGACAAATATTAATCAATATTTTCTACTTATTAAAAAAAGAGGTCCACTTTTTATATTTAACTTTCAAATTCATAGATTATGTTGGTACATGGTGTGAGGCAAGGATCTATCTTTTCCCTCCACACACATCTCTTTCTTTTTTTTTTTTTTTTTTTGAGACAGTGTCTCACTTTGTTGCCTGGGCTAGAGTGCCGTGGCGTCAGCCTAGCTCACAGCAACCTCAAACTCCTGGGCTCAAATGAGCCTCCTGCCTCAGCCTCCCTGGTAGCTGGGACTACAGGCATGTGCCACCATGCCCAGCTAATTTTTTCTATATATTTTTAGTTGTCCAGATAATTTCTTTCTATTTTTTTAGTAGAGACGGGGTCTCGCTGTTGCTCAGGCTGGTCTCGAACTCCTGACCTTGAGCGATCCACCCGCCTCGGCCTCCCAGAGTGCTAGGATTACAGGCGTGAGCCACTGCGCCTGGACACACACACATATCTCTTTCTAACAGTATCCAGCCAGCTGCAGTAGCACCTTTACTGAATAAGATAGTCTCTCTCACTGGAGTCCGATGTTGTCTTTATTAAGTAGAGTCTTAAATTTTTAAAGAGTATCCTGCTGTTTCTCTTACAGGCATCAGTTTTGAATGTCAAGGAATCCAAAGCTTCTGAAAGGACAATTGTAGTTGGTGGTTTTCCAGTTGACCTTTTAAGTGCTCGATCATTGGTCTTACTAGTGAAGAGTTACTTCCAAGATATTAAGAATGAAGGTGGAGAAGTTGAAGATGTGATATATCCAACAAGAACCAAGGGAATTGCGTATGTAATATTCAAAGAAAAAAAAGGTATTTCTAAATCCAATTTTTGTAATCTTAGAAATACTTCTTCATTGAAGTTAAAAATTGCATTTCATTAAAATGATTATTGGGGTTGGTAAATTGTAGCTTTTTAAAAAAATTATTCTGAATATAAAAGTGGCACAGTAATGCGTTAGCAAGAATAGATGTGAAAATGGCTTATGATAACGTTGCTAGTGACTGGCAGATTCTTGAAAACCTTTTTTTCTTTGTTTTGAATCTGTCTATATCTTGGGATAAAAGTGATACATTTTATTGTAGAAAATTTGTAAAATACAGAAACAGAGAAGAAAACCATGACAAAAATTATATATAATCTCATAAACAAGGTAACTACTTTGGAAATTTCCAGGTGGCTTCAACTGTATAATTACACCTTCTGCTTCTCTTTGTTCAAACCAACAAATGGATATTCTGATATAGTATCTGCTTTGTTACTGGTAAAGTTGAATTGAGAAATATAGCTTGGATCTGAGATCAGAGCCATTCTGTTCCTTCCCTCCATCCCTGACGTGGGTGGGGAAGTTGGGTCTGCAGAGCACACATACCTTCCATGAAGGGGTAGCGTTCTCTGCAGCTTAGTGGCAGGCAGGATAAATTGCCAGAGAAAGACGAGTCTCCATGCCAGCCTCTTGGAAGTGAAAGTACCACTTGGGGGCAGGAGCAGAGGAAGAGACCTTGCTATGCTTGAGGGAAGACAGGGTTCAGAGAGGGATCCAGGAGACTATGGATTTTCAGTGCCTTTAGCTGTCACCTTTAGTTAAGTCATTCCCTCTCAATGGGGATGTTCAGGTAAAGGACGGTGGGAAGGGCTTTTTATTATTTCTCTAAGGGTATAGTAGTGTTGTTGGAAGTTAATTTTTTAAAAAAAATTTTTTATAGAGACAGGATCTTGCTATGTTGCCCAGGCTGGTCTCAAACTCCTGGCCTCAAGTGATCCTCCCACCTCAGCCTCCCAGAGTACTGGGATGATGGGCATGAGCCACCATGCCCAGCCTGGATGTTGATATTTTATATGTTGAATTGGTAACTCAGAGAGAGAAGGAGAGGGCTCACTCATCCATTTACAAATATTTCTTGCTTACCGATTATTTGGCAGGCAACATTCTAGGCCTTGAGGTTACAGGAATGGATGAAATAGACAAAATCTTTCTTTCACGAAACGTGCATCTGTGGGAGTGGACAGATACTAAACAGAGGAATATATGATATGTTGGGTACTTTATTTACATGTAACATTTATGTATATGTTTATGTATTAATGTATAAATGCTATGAAGAAATGTGAAGAAGAATAAAGGGAGAGCATGTGATGGGGAATGCTGTTTCAACAGGGTGGGAAGGGTAATGCTCTGTTTAGAAGACACTCGAGCCGAGACCTAAACGAAGGGAGGGAATGATTCATGCAGGTAAGTGGGAAGAACATTCTAGGCCAAGGGAAGGACTGGTGCTCCTGGGAGACGGGAGCATGCTGGGTGTTTGCAAGAACAGCAAGGAGGCCTGTGTCCCTGGGGGACAAGCAGGGCCGAGGGGCAGGAGATGTGGCTAGATGGGGACCTGGAGCCAGTCTAGGCTCAGTAACTTCTGGGTTACGACAAGGTGTCTGAGATTTTATTCTGGGTGAGATGGAGGGTTTCGAGCAGGGGATTGCCCAGAGGTGACTGATGAGTCTGGCATCTGTGTGTGACAGGGTGGCAGCAGGGAAGGTGATGGGAACTGGGGGCTATTTGGGACTTGCTGGTGATTAGAGGTCATTTTCGGAGGTGGAGAAGACTGGGAATAGAGTACATTGAGGAGGGGTATGTTTATCAAGAGTTGGGCTTTGGTCAGTGAGATGCCTGTTAGGATAAGGAAGGAGAGATTTCTACAGGCAGAAGGGAGAAAAGTCAAGGCCGGGGGTAGAATTTTGAAAGAGATACATACAGAGATGGTGTCTAAAGCCAGGGAAATTGTTGCGATCACCCAGGGGGTGGGTCTAAGTTAGCAAAGAAGTATGAGGCCCTAGTTCTGGGGCTTCTCAACATCTAGGGAATGAGAATTGGTGGATGAGGAAGGAGAGTGTGTGTGTCCCAGCCATCGAGTTAGGAGGAGAACCAGGACAGTGTGTTGTCACGTGCAAGAAGGTGAAGTCCCCTGTGACCATGATTAGCAGAGTGGGGGATGTACTTTTCCACTCATGTATATACCCTGTGAGTTTTTAAAAGTGTGATTAGGATTCTATTTATACATAAAATGAACTTTCATATGTTAAAGTGCAAGGAAAAATCTTTTGAATGTTGAATTTAGAGAAAAAATGTAGAAAAACATCTTAGACATTCTAAGTATCTAATATTTAATAGTATATCTCTATTGTTATTCACGTTAAAATAATTATGAGTGTATCGTGCCGCAAACACTTCTGATGCCAACGTTTCCATTTAGTTGCAGAGAACGTCATCAGACAGAAGAAGCACCAGCTAGCAGGGCAGGTTGGAGGTGTTGGTTTCCAGGTCTCTCGCTTTGGTGTCGAGGTGAGGTGTGATGCTGAAGTTCTGGGTCCACGTCTGTTTCCAAGTCTTTCCTATGTAAGGAGACACAGCGCGCTCTCACCCCACGACTTCCAGGAAAGGAAATGTGAACCCCCTAACCCAAATCAGTGTTAAAGGCCAAATCTATCTCTTGAAATTTTGATCACTGCCCTATCTGTTTCTGTCTTTCTGGGTGTCCCACTTAATGCTTTTCAAGTGAGAGTAAGCTTTCATACTGCCATGAATGATGTCAGGTACCAACCTGAAGACTTATTTTGGGGAAAAAAATTTAGAATGAACATTAAAAAGGAGCATCGAAGAGATAGGAAAGGTGGAAATACAAGGAAAAAGTTCACATTCAAAGCACTGGTTGACTAACTTTATTGTGGAAGAAACTCGGGGTTGTGTGCTGCCCTCTGATGACTGAGGTGGGGGACGACTAGGGGAACCTCTATCCACAGAGCAGAGCCAGGACAGTTTCTATTTATGAACTCTGCTTAAGACTTTGTTTCAAAAAAGCATCCTGCCTCTAAAAATTATTTGACTGCTTCTGTTTTGCCGTATGTGGCGAGAGGCTGTGAATCCCCAAATGAAAAGTGTGGGATCTCTTTGATGGGCAGCTCTGGTGCACGAAGCCAGGAAGCCTGGGTTAGGCATTTGGGGCCTGGTTTGGGGAATTGGGGCCTGGTTTAGGGCAACTGCTGTGGAGACAAGAAAGTGGCAGAAAAGAACATATTTGTTCTGATGCTCATTGAAGTCAAAAAAAAGAAAAAAGAAAAGAACGTATTTGTGTAGTCTGTTCCACTAGGCAGTGAGGTTTCAATTTTTCTCTTTTTAATTTTAGGTCTTCAGCTCTGTAAATGCTGTCCTTGATCTGTCTGTTTTTCGGAGTCAAGTTATTCTACAGAATCTGGTAACGGATTTGAAAAAGAAAATCCCAACTTTAAGCTTCAGTCCTTTGAAACCCAATGGAAGAATCTCCGTGGAAGGATCATTTCTGGATATCAAGGAGCTCAAAGAGTGTTTGCTATTAAAAGCAAGGTTTCTTTTAGATAAAACCAGCAATTTTACCAGTGAGGGTGGAAAATGGAATAGACAAAGCCCCCAAAGGAATCTACAGAAAAGTCATAAGTCTTTGGAGTCACTCAGGGCCTTAGTACCTGAGACAGCTAGAAGCAGAGAAATGCTTGTGCTCGACACAGATATTTTTCTTTACCTGAAACAGAAGTGTGAATTTTATAAAAGCACACTGAAGAAATTCCATGTTCTAAGTCAGGAGAGAGAGGATGGGGGAATCACCACAATTTGTCTGGAACCAGTTTGTTCTCAGCCCAATGCGACGAAACGTGTAAAAGAGCTCATTGAGAAACAGTCATGTGCTCTTCACTTAAAGCTTAGGAAAGAGACATTCATTTTGGAAGGAAGGGAAAATAGAGAGAAAAGAGAAATCGAGCAGGCATGTAAACAGTTAAGTTCGAGGTACCCTGAGGTTCTGATTAACTTTCACATGACGCATGTCGACATTATAGGATCTTCTTCTGACACTTACCTATTTAAAAAAGAGGTCATGAAATTAATAGGGGAAAAGGTTAGTTAGTACAACCTCAGCAACAGTAATGATAATGGCTGCTTTCCCTTACTGAGCAGGGACCGTGCTGTATACGAGGCTAGCTTTACACACCTTATCTCATTTAGTCCTCATGACCATCCTTCATCATGCCAGGGGAAGAAAGCAGGAGTTGGAGCTGTTGAACACTTACCTGAAGTTATCCACCTGATGAGAAATGAGGCTGGGGCTTCACCCAGTCTATCTGATTACAAAGGTAATATCTAGGGAATAAAACTTTGAAAAAAACTCACCAAACTTTGAAGGAATCTTACTTTCTCTGCAACTCCAAATTATTAGAAAAAGAAATAGCCTTAACATATGACAAGTTTCGGTGATTATTATTATGCCATTGGCAATTTCTTAACATTTACAAAGTTTGCATTTACTCCATATAGAATTAGAGTACTGGCAAAAAACACTTGGGAAACTACTTAGATAAAAGGTGTTTCTGATTCAGGTACATTCCATTGCTACAAGGCTGCTGGACATGAGGGACATTTTTACTGCCACTGTTGTTGAAACCAGAAGAGGGTGTCGGTCTAGGTCCAGTTACTTGGTGCACAAAGATCCAGTTATTCAGACACTAAGGATTGCTAAGGAAGAAAGGAATTTTTTAATCCGACAGATATCTTGTTGGGAGAATGGGAGGACCTGCCTCAAATCTGTCTCTCCAACTAATGGAGAGCATGCGCTTTTAAAGGAGGGGCCACATGCCTTGGGACAGGTTGCGGTAGGATTAACAAGGGGCTACACCACTGGGGGAAGGTTGTGGGGGATGGTGAATTTTGGGGTCAGGAAGTCTGCCCTGGCGTCTTCAGAATCTCAACTCCTTTGTCTTGCAGAAAATCCATCATTTCTGGGAAACAACTCAAAAGGTCAAGTAGTTAAGAGAGAGGATTATAAAAAACTTATAGGGGTCACTGAAATTTGTTCATAGAGCCAGCACCACTACTTATAAGTGCTTATGTAAAATATTGATTCTCTCGTTATAATTATGAAAGTGGATCGTAGGAATTGGGTCATTCTTGTCACACCCAACTCAACTAAAGCAGTGTAAAAGAAGCCAGGGGAAAAAGTACCCAGGGCACATAACATTGCTCCAAGAATATAATTCTCTGTGAACCTCACTACTGAAATTGCTTGCTGTAACCTGAAACCAGTTTTATCTTTAGCTGCTGAGATAACTTACTGCAACTCTAGGACTAATTTTTACCCACTGCCGTGGTCTATCAATCAGAGCTTGCCAGCTCCCCAGAGCTTTACTGATACCAATGAACTTTCCCTGAAGACCACACATAACATTCCTCTTTTTTTTCTTTTTCCTTTGAGACAGAGTCTCACTGTTGCCCTGAATAGAGTGCTGTGGTGTCAGCCTAGCTCACTGCAACCTCAAACTCCTGGGCTCAAGTGATCCTCCTGCCTCAGCCTCCTGAGTAGCTGGGACTACAGGTGTGCACCACTACGCCTGGCTAATTTTTGCTATTTTTTTAGTAGAGACGGGGTCTTGCTCTTGCTCAGGCTGGGGAAGGCAGATTAAAGCAGGGGGACTTCCTTATCATGCCAGCTAAAACTGGCCTGTTCTGCCAAAGGTCAAATGAATTACTTTTCTCTTGGTAGCATGAAATTTTATCATGAGCGACTCTATTTTGGTTTGGTCCATTAGGCCTGGTGTAGGAGCTCAGTCCAAATCAATGACTTTCTATAAATTTTATTTAACACCACATTGAAGCACAAAATAAGATCATAGTTTAAAAAAAATACTTAAACCAATGACTAATCTTTATTATTATTTTTCCAACTATAAGAAGGCTTTTCTTTCTGTTGTGGTGTTCTCTCTCTAACTCTAAAGTCCCAGGGGTACTTACACAGCAGGAGGGGTCAGGCCCGAAGGAAGGAAATCCGTTAAACCTGCCCAGTCTGCCATGGGAACCCACTCTGCTCTAGTGGTCTATCATTTTAGTACAGTTCTTGTCATCAAGGTTGCCAAGTCATGTGGCCATCACATATTTGGCAGTAGTTTCTGTAGCTGAGGAAAGAAGACTCTTCCCCAGTTACATTCAGCGTTGTTCACTGTATACCAAGGTAAGCCAGCTCTCAGGGACATGTGTCTTTATGGACAGAACTCTCTCTTCTTACATAGTCGGTCCTCATTGTTCACAGATTCTGTATTTGCAAATTTGCTTACTTGCTAACACTTATTTGTAACCCCTATTTGCAGATTTGCACAAAAACGACAAAAAATTTTAGTCTCCTGACCTGCATGTTCCCAGCAGAGGTTGAACAAGGTGACTCTCTTCCTTCTTGTTTCAGTTCTCTTATTGCAAACAAGTGTCCTTCTCGAGGTCTTTTTAATACCACGTTTTTCACATTTTTGTCCCTTTTGTGGTGATTTCACTATTTAAAATGGGCCCCATGAGTAGTGCTGAAGTGTTGAATAGTGTTCACAAGCTCAAGAGGACTGTGATGTGCTTTATGCAGAAAATGCATGTGTCGGCCGGGCGTGGTGGCTCACGCCTGTAATCCTAGCACTCTGGGAGGCCGAGGTGGGCGGATTGTTTGAGCGAGACCCTGTCTCTACCAAAAATAGAAAGAAATTAATTGGACAGCTAAAAATACATAGAAAAAATCAGGCGGGCATGGTGGTGCGTGCCTGTAGTCCCAGCTACCCGGGAAGCTGAGGCAAGAGGATTGCTTGAGCCCAGGAGTTTGAGGTTGCTGTGAGCTAGGCCGACGCCGCGGCACTCTAGCCCGGGCAACAGAGACTCTGTCTCAAAAAAAAAAAAAAAAGAAAATGCATGTGTTAGATAAGCTTCATCTGGATATGAGTTTTCGTGCTGTTGGCTGTGAGTTCATTGCTAATGAAACAACAGCATATATACGTATATGTATATTTGTATATATATTTTGAGACAGGTTCTGTGTTGCCTGGACTAGAGTGCAGTGGCATCATCACAACTCACTGCAACCTCAAATTCCTAAGCTCAGGTGATCCTCCTGCCGAAGTGCTGGGATTACAGGTGTGAGCCACCGTGCCTGGCCAATAACATATATTAACGAAGATGTCTTTAAATAGAAACACACATAAAACAAGGTCATGTATTTTTCAGTTGACAAAAGTGTGACCAGAGACTTGCAGGAACCTAATCCTGCAACTATCCCAGGAGTAATAGTTCAGTATTTGCTAGTTCATTGCTAGTTCTTGAGGACAATCAACTGTATATACAGCCATTTCCCTAAGATGTGCCCATAATGCCAGGGAAGGTGAGTCAGCAATTGTCCTGTAAGAAACTGTAGAAGGACCAGACTTTCCTACTTTCCAAAGAGTCATGCCTGTTCCTCTTGCTGTTCTCCAATGGGCTGGTACTTATCACTATACTTGATCTTAGCCAAAAAGAGGAGCGACTACACGTGCTCTCTAGACAAGGGCACTCTGTCCTCTCTGTCACTGCCATTAGCTGGGGTGGGGTGGGAGTGTGGCACAAGGAGGAAGGGTAATCTGGAAACGCAACTGTGCAACTCACCCTGGCCCATTTCAGGCAGTCGTCTTCCAGCCCTACTTCTGTGGTCTCTCTTTTGGGCCCAGATAAGAACAAAATTCCTCATTCTGGCCTCAGGCTGATTTGTAGTGGGAATATTCACTGTCTTGCTCTCATCTCCTCAACATATAATTGCAAAAATAAAACAATCTGACACCAGTACATTTCCCCAGATCTGAGCTGTCCCGTTGTAGCTACGGACACTGTGATAGAGAGTGATGGAAACACTACGAACAGCTGTCTCTGGGTCCTGTTGCATCGTTCCCAGAGTAAAACCTCAGCACGCACTGGAGAGTGAGGAGTCAATCAGCACTGCCCACAGTCAAGTCAGGTTTGAGCTGGGCTGGAGATTGAATCCACATTCAATCAAGACTATACTGGATTTCATTGCTGAACCATAGCTTTTGGTGAAGAATTCAAAGGTGGCGACGTTCTCCTAAATTTGGCATTCTCTTGATACAGTTGAAAAGATTTCTTATGTGTGCAAGAGACGAGTCTTAAAGAGCTATGTTATTGCTACCCTGGGAATTCCTATGTAAGGGACTTTGGGTGTGTTCATCTGGTGTTCAAGAGATGGCACTCAATGTATACCTTGCCTCTCTTTTGACTTTAATTCAGTTTTATTTCTTCTTTCAGCGATATACCTTTTTTTTTAATTGGCTTGTGGCAGAGCAATGATAATTTTAAAACATAACTATACAAAAATATCTTTAAAACTTGACATTTTGGCAGAAAATGCATGCATTTCCATATACTCAGAGATGTGGAAGTAACTCAAGGAAAACAAGTCTTCCCAGATTAGGTGTATCTTTTCTTGCCCTTGCTTTCTCTCTCTTTCTCTTTTTTTATAAGTTATAACACTTTGTATAATCAATTATATTTTAAAACATATTAATTTAGTATATGTCAATTATTCATAATACTTTCTATTCCTCCCTCTTCTTGTCACCTGGTGCTATGGCCTGGTCTTTATTTTTCGTCATTCTATGCTAATGACAGAAGCAACCATAAGACAATTAATTTCTTTTAGAGAAGCTCTTGTCTGCCCTGCCCTATTCCTAACCCCAATATAGTAATGAATAAAATGAAACTGTAACAGTCTGAAAAAAAGAGAGCTGTTAAAACAATAGGGGTACCTTGGAAACAGCAGCTAAATATTCTGGCGTAAACAATGCTGATGTTACTTTGAGTGATGGCATATGACACCCTCCACCATAGAATGAGGAATCCAGTGAGAAAATAAACATTTAGATTCTGACTCTGTCCTTGGCATTCGTTGAGTAATGTGATGTAAGAAATACACACCTAAAAGGCCATACGACATGGAACTGTTTGTATCAGGACTATTTTTCTTAATTAGTTTGAGAGTCAGAGGCAGTAACAGCCACAGAGCACTAGAGGGAGCCAGATCCCTTTCCGATGATTTCTTCTTTGTTCTGTAGCTAGAACACAGCGGTTCTAAACCCATGTTTGGATCAGCCTGTGGACCTGTGAATTTAGTGTTCAGCCTTAGTTCACGGACATGATTACACATGCGTTAGAAATTTAAAAGGGGCAAAGTGTTATACATCAAAAGGGACCCAAATACAATCTATGGATCTCGTTTGCATCATGATTCAAACGAATCAGCCTCAAAAAGATGTTTGTAAGACAACTAGAAATTTGAACAGGA